CCCCCCCCCCCCCCCCGTTCATGTAGTTGCGGAATGGCCATTGTACAATGAGAGGGAAGTGCACATGACCGAGCTGGGAAAAGTAGAAGGAAGATACACGAAGATATTTGAGGCGTGGAATAGCCAGGAGAAGACGGTAGCTGTACTGGGGCAAAGAAAGTGGGTTGAAAAGGCGGGAAGTGATGTCGATCGCATAAATTGTCCAGGGAAATCATTTTTGAGACACGTTTGATAAAGTACGAAGGAACAATTGACCATCGGTGATCGGTCCTGTGGGACCAATGCTTCGTCCTCTCGAGGACGCGTGGTCAATGGTCTAACCGCTAAGACATGTAAAACATAAAAGAGTACGCCCCGCCCGCCCCATACCCCGCGTCGTTTCTCAACCCTCCTGTCGTGTCAGTCACCGGCCACACATGCAAGCACGTCGACTACGACGAGTTCAACCCTCCCTCGTGGCGAAGCAATTGCGCTCCGCACAAGTCGGACTGGGTCTTCACGGATCTCCCCCGATGCGGGACGGGCAAATATTTGTACGCAGAAGAGTTCTGGAGTTGTTCCGGTATGTCCGCTGGTTCCCCTTCATCTTACCTTCGTCGCTTTATCTTGTTGAGGGTGTGTTTGGCCGCAACGTTGCCTCGTTGTTTATTGTCTCTCTTTCGTTGTCTCTCTTCCCACTGCATGTGAAGCAAAGAAGAATGGTTATTTTTACCCTACAACCCTGGTGTGCTTCGACAGCAAACGCCCTGGTTTGGGCAACACATTCGCACGTCAGTGACCAGTCGTTAACCTCGCTGCCTGTCATCAACAATTGCTTTGGGAACACACTTCAGAGAACCTTTCACATAGGATGCAACGAGAACGTAGATGTTTTCTCCTTTACGTGATACCATGCTACCTGACGGCAGCAACGGCAACGACATGGAACAGTCAGTGCTCCTACTGCTGGACATGTTTTTGAGACCTACATTCGGCTTTTATTCAAGCCCCCCCCCCCCAACCTCTCGGTGCTCGCCCGTCGTCCCCCACTCCCTCCCCGCCGGCCTACTCTCCGCTTCGCTGGGATTCCTACCCACGTCAGATGTCGAGATCACGTCAGGTGATTACGTGAAGAAAGCCTTGCACCTTCACAGGCGATAGTTCCGGTGTTTGACTTTTTCTTCTGTCTTTCTTTGCTCTTTGCCTTCGTTGGGTGTCTTCGCGCTTTCAGGTTGAAGACTTCCCGTGCTTTCTCGCGTGCGGCGGTGCGATCAATGGTCAACTGCTTCCTTCCGTTGACGACGCGTTTCACGTGCAACCCGTGCACGCGATGATGCGGTCCGTTTTGGTGGTACTGTCATGCCGAGCACATCCCCTTTCCTGCACGTCACCACCACCCCTAGCGCTCCTTCTCGTTTCGAAACTCGGCGAAACAAACGAAACAGGGGACACACAGACTGAAGGCAATGACGATGACATACCGTCGTCCTCCATTGATCATGGCTGTTTCGCCGACACCAAGACCGGGCGTGTCATGAAGTGGATGTCTCTAAGAGACGAGAAGAAACACGCGATGAAGGGCGAGGTACGTGCAGTTTCATATTTGCTTGCGATCCTGCTTGGATGCATGCAAGGCACGTATACCATTATGCTCCAAAGTGGACCATTATGTTCGAAGGGGCATCGATACTCGTGGTGCGTCAAAGGAAACGAGTACCCGCTACAGGAAGACATGGGCGGATGTACTCACGAATATTGTGGGGCTGAAGGGGCGCCATCTTATAATTCGACAGAGTCGCGACTGTTTTGTTCTGTGCCTACCCGATTCGTGGCGTGGTAATATATGCAGACGCCTTGCGGGTCGTTTTGTTCAAGGAGTCGTCCTCCATCGCGTATGCCTCCGAAAAGGCACCTAATGTTTTAAGATGTATAAGTTTAGTCCCCCCTCATACGTGATTTCCGCATACAAACCCCTGCCACAGCTCTGCTATGCAAGCATATCGGTTTCTCACCACTTCCATTCACAACCATCGGGGCTTCCGCCCACCCCTCTCCCCAAAATGCCCCCTCGTCTGCTACGCCCTGTCTACCGCTCTAAACGCCTGACTCCATCTCATTCATGCAGATGTGCATGGACATCTGTATCCAGGGGGGGTACAAGTACTCTGGGACCCAACATGGCTACCAATGCTTCTGCAGGGGCAAGTACACGGACCACCTCGAGCATGGCGAGTCCGCCGACTGCGATCACCCGTGCGCGGGAAATGAAAACGAAATATGCGGCGGGCCGTGGTGCATGTCCGTGCGTGAAATGTTTTGAAGCTGAAAGTGCGGCAGGCTTAGGATTGTTAGGTGCGTGACGGCTGGTGCCTTTGTACGACACGGCCGTGCCTCGTCATACACAAGCAAAAGGACAAGTCGATTCCTCCTAACATGGGGAAGCGTGTTGGGCTGCTCGGTCGGGGTAAGGACCGACCGTGTTTCCATGTGGTAGCTCTGGCGAGAGGAAGCGTCCACTCTTCGAGATCCGACCTTCTTTGTAGGTGGCATCCTGGTTCACGTCAATCAAATCGGTGACACATGGGCAGAGAAGGTGTTTCTTCTCACGCGTTGCCGCTGTCGGTGATAGCAACAAGTACCAACGGAGGGGGGGGGGGGGGGGGGGGGGGGGGGGGGGGGGGGGGGGGGGGGGGGGGTGAAGTACCGGTTAGTGGTGTCCCGTGCACTTTGTGAGGAAATAGGTAAGATTGGTACGAATGTATGGTGCATGAATGGTGTTTTACCCGTCTATGCTCATCATTGGTATGTACGGTTTGTATTTTATACCACACGACAAACGACCGACCGTGGCGGCTGGCACGCAGGATCTACTAGGTACCGTGCGTAGTCTCTTTTTGGCTATGAACAGTGCCTTCGCTAAGGCCCCATTGGAGCTTGTTGGTGTTCCCAGCTGCTGTCTTTCTACGGTTCACGGATCGATTGCTGCTACTGTAGCAGGATAGGAAGACATTTAGAAGGGTTCGGTTTGCAGGCCTGTGTTTCACCCGTCTATGCTGATCAGTATTGGTGTGTATGGTTTGTATTTTACATGAAGAAAGCGACATATAGCTGAAAAGCTCTCGTGAGTACCAAACTTCGACGTTAGCACCGTTGACGAGGGAAAGGGACGGCTGGAGCCTTCTTGCGATAAAAAATAAAATCCAGCACGCACCGCAGGAGGAAGGTAGGGCATGAAAAGAAATAAAAATAAGAAAAGAGCCCTGGTGTTTACCCCCTCCTGTGTGACCCTGGATGGTTGTAGTTGTACGAAAAAATACACTGACAAGTGTAGTACTCTACATACATACATACGCTGAAAAGTGTAGTACACGTCTCACCACGAAAAATGGGGGGACTGTCGCCATAATAAATAGGACGAAACACACACACACAACACACCACGCGACAAACAACCGACCATGGCGGCTGGCACGCGGGATCTAATACTTTTCGGAGCTCGTTGATGTTCCCAGCTGCCGTCTTTCTACAGGTCACGAATCGCTTGGTGTACTTCTCCCAGGAAAGGAAGAAGTTTGGAAAGGGTTGGGTTTAAGGTCGCCTCATCCAAGTCACCCTAACCGTTGAACGAGAGCGAGAGTTCGACGTTTGTTATTGCAGTAGACTACATATAGAAATGGCGTTGTCGCACTCCACCCAGAGATCTTCTCGCCTGTAGATTGCATATTTGGACTTACCGTCACCGGAATGTGCAGTCTGCAGTACTCCTTACATGATGATGGGAGCTCAAGTCTTGATGGTGAAGTTTACGAAACGTGAAAGAGTTGGATAACCTTACTTGTTCATCTTTGATAAACTGAGTTGTATTTGATGGCGCTCTCCTCGGCGTTTGATCAGAAGATGGGTTGTAATTTCTTACATTCGAATCGAATGCATCATTCGCGGATGATTTCCACGCGTGGAAACCACTGCAATCTTGGCGCTTGAGGGAGCCGCCAGGCCGAAAACTACTGTAGAACAGGATTGCATCATTGAATGTTGTGTTGTCTATATGACGCTACCATGCAATGACCACACCTAAAACGACAGTGATGGGCCCACCAAGCAAAAAGAGACACGTGAAACGGCGGTTGGTCTATGGGTGCACCAAGCATAACGTGACAAAATTGCATTTTCTACTTGTTGTAGTGGCCAACGGGTTTGTTTGCGTTTCTGTTTCTGGTATTCACTCGCAGACAAGCATGCCCTGTGATGTGTCATTCCATCGTAAAAATATCTCCTCTTCAATTTGAAATAAAACCAATGACAATCCTCATGGTATCCTACATACATGCGTTCGTAAGCTTGCTAAAATACTACTGCGTTGATGTCCTCTTGTAAAAGCTGAAATCCAACAATTGCTTTGATGTTTCTCTCTTGGTGTGACCGGTGGCAATATCGATCAGCAATGCCGCACAGACTTTATCGCGCCGAAGTATGCTTGCGACAGTTTTAACCTAACCACTTCGGTGGAAAGCGGATTTATTTCTGTTCAATACGGTGTCAGGGGTACCAGGGAAGACGGGGCCGAGTTTTGTTTGATTTCGGGTGGATGAGGTTGGGGTTTTGTTCGTTTTTCTCCATCTAAGGTTCGTGCCTAGAGTTCAGCTGTATGTAGTGTTTCGACCAAAGTTTTGTTGACTTAGAGGCAAACATTCCTAGCTATTGGGCATCGAGTTAATTTGGCTTGGCATGACAGCCTTTACGATCGACTTTTTATGTATGTCTGCATTTATCTGCAATTGTCGGAGGGCAAACAAAATAATAATGATAATAAAAAATTGCTTTGATCCATGCTACATCTATCTCCGTGTTGGAAATTGATGATCGATCGGTGTCGTCCAGAGACTCTTGAGATGAAACCAAACAGGAACTAATGGACCTGTTCTTGTCGTGCAAGGATAACAAACTAAGCTAACACCATGAACGAATCGGATTGACCCTGTTTCTTGCCGTCTGGGGTAAGACACAGTCTACAGACGGTATCATGCGCGTTGGTCTCGCCTACTGTATGTACGTAATACTGAACGTCCCGCACGCCGTCATCACACCCGCAACAGAAATGGCAAACCACACCCACACCCGCTTGTCTCTTATGTTTATATAATTGTGGACTATCTACGTGCAATCCATGTGTTCGTCGACTCCGATTCTTTGTCGAGGAAAACTGTTACAACGTAGTCAGGCACAGTTTACCATAGGTGCGACTGCGGCAACTAGC